TATATTACTTTTATCAACTATAGACTTAGGTATTGTTTATTTGGATATTTAGATATTTTATATTCTTTATATGTACTATGTTATATTATCATTATCAACTTCTGATTCAATTGAATCTCCCCGTCTAATCCCCTACGCACAGACTTGATCTTCTGTAGGTTTGCCCATTTATTCCCCTTCCCCGCTTATCGTCTGCACTGTGTCATATGCATGTACAAAAATGTAAAATAAGAGGAGAATAAATTATTATTATTACTATCATTATAGTTGTTATGAATAACTGCGCAAATATGTCTTATATTTTTCGATGCTTGGTATAGAGGTGCAATGATATTGAAGATCTAGTTGACATTTATAGAACATATTCCACAAAGAGTTCCAGAATGCCTATAGTACGGTTTCGTTGTTGAAAATTGCAGAATTTGTCGAAATATTGTCAAAACTGTAATATTGTACCTTCCCATTGTGATCATCATAATTTCCAATCGATGTTTTTTCATTTCCTTGTTTTTGTGACTTTGGTACTATGATTGATGAAAATCATTGATCCGGTTTCTGCAGCCCCCTTCTGCAGAACCAAGATACTGAGATACTATTAGTTTGTGGTTTTTTCACTCTGATTGGTGGTTAAGCCAATCAACTGACAACTGCATCAGCAAAAATTTGGGAAGCTTTCCTGTATTGTCATTGGAAAACAAATCCACATGTTTCTAGAACGCTGACATAAGCTAACTTGAGTGTCACACCAAAAGTGGTTGCACTTATGTCTCGCTTGCTCTTACGCAGTTATTTTCATCAAGTATTGTTCTTGGTTTTTCACATTTTGTCTTCAGTTGAGGACCGCCTGCCCGGTACTGATGATGCTCAACAGGCTGAAACAGCTGTCTGCCGGTGACGCCTATATTGAAATTAAATTAGAGACGGTTCAGTTGGTTCTGAAGAGACCATGTCCGGTACTGATGATGGGGCAAGTACCACGAAACAGGTCTACCGGTTGCTCGTATGGACCAAATTAATTTCTGCTTTTCATGGTGGGAAATAACTTGCAACGAGTATTCCAAATCGAAGACGTTGCACAGGTGCCTGATGGTTTTACTTCAACTTTCTGCGCGGCATTAGCTGGGTTAATTGTTATTTTTCCGTCGGGTATCTGTCACACGTACCTACAAGGTCTACATGATAAATAAGAGGTAAGGTGTTTTCACCTGAACCAGGAGCATGTCATATGCACCTCTCCGGAATATTAATCATTATTCCGACTCCCACCCCGGAGCAGAGTGGAATAATACAATCAGTATGCTCTGTAACCACGTGATCCGCCCGAGTTGCCGGGGACCTTCAACCGCTCTTAGGATGAGATTCTCATCCAATGCGTTCAGTGCTGTAGTATCGAAGGATTCAACGGAACCACGGACATCGGATTAGTTATAATAAACGGTCGGAAAGTGATATTGTGTTTAGTTTATTCGCCGTTGTTATTATTGGTTTTAGTTTTTGTATGTAACTTACCACAAAATCTTCTATAATAGTATCCTTGAATTTCGATTTTATATAAGCGCACTTCGTTTCAAGGTCACCGAGAACTTTGTGAATTATGAGAGAAATTAGTGAGAGTAGACTTACTGGTTGATTTTTACTATGCCCGGAGTATGTGTTTAAGGAGTTGCTTCCTGGCTTTGTCTGCAGTCTATCGCACACTGAACACTGAGTCATGCCGGAATACGGCTAGCGCTAAGGGTTAGAGTGGGAAGAAAAAGAAGCCAGCCATACTGGCGCCTTTATGAGCTGAGTTAACAAGCGGTTTATCCTCCCACAAGGAGTTATCACTTCAAAAAAATCACATTCTGTTCGATTTTCAACAGTTTGTTTTTTGAAAAGTCAATCTAGATCGAATCATAAAATAACTCCTTTAAGAGAATGATTGTCTAGCACATTACAAGTGACCAGAAAAGTAAAAGTTTGTCAGAGATGAAACGGAGCCACGGTCCACTTTCTTCAAAAAATAGCAAACACAATACAAATTCCATCGGTTCTGAAGTCAAGCGAACGTATTAGGCATTCGTAAACGTACAAGCAATTTTCGATATTGACATCGACTTGACTCGAGGAAGTGGATTTCGAAGAGTTCGGAATGTAATTTAGAGAACATGTACATATACGTTACGTTACTTGACATTCGTTCCATGCACTCACTTAAATTATACTGCTCGAATAGATATACATCTGTAATACAGAGCAGTACACGCAAGTAACGATTTCACTCGAGAGATGAGGAATGTAGTGTTTCATTTCATTATTATTCAAGTTATAGTGGTATATTTTCGGGAAAGAATGATTTTTGGGAAGGAAGCAAAAAAAATTAAAAGAGAAGTATAGTCGAAGTAAACGATATTGTGAACATTTAAAGTTGGTGGCACTCTCAAAGGCCAAAAAAACCAATACATAGAAATTAATCAGCTGCGAAATAGTCCACGTGCACTGTAGAATTGGCGGTTCCTACTGGATAATTTTTATTAACCGAGTTTTATAATTGGCTGAAGAGACATAAAATTAAATTTGAAGTCATGTTATGGTGACGAATTGAAATCAGGGAATGCGGGGATAGTTATCGCCGTCTTGTTCAGTTCAGGAACTGATCGCGATTTGAGTGTTGAAATTCGCGCAGTTATAATTACTTGATATTTTTGTTATCTGTTTAAAATGTGGCGTCTTTGGACAAGTACTAATAGTAATAACGGGTGTGATAACAACGCAGCCTTGCGTACAGAAAGTATGTTTCAATGTATAAAAGGATCTTCATCTCAAGTTTGGTTTCGAAGAAAACAAACTATTACAAGCAACATCAGATTTGACCGAAATTCCTTCCTCAACTGTACGTAAAATAGTCAAAAACAAACCTTATGAACGCAAGAAGCGATGTGATACAGATTACCGAAACCATTAGATGCTCATCCAATGAAATCATTGAAAAAACAATATACGACTGTTACAAAAGCAATGAGATTCCTACAACTGAAATCATAGGGAAGAAATTGATTACTTCCGGCCATAACCTGAGCTGCTGTGACAAAACTTTTCAGAATTGGATAAAGAAAAACTAGGATTTACATTTGAAATAATAAGCAAACGTCTAACAAAAGGAAAGCAGAAGAATATTGGAATGGCGTAACAAATACTTAGAACAAATTACTAAATATAGACAAGAACAACGGCAAATTTTCTATTTGGATGAAACTTGGTATGGCACTCACGACACAGTTACGACAAAACTCTTCAGGATTGGATAAAGAAACTAGGATTTAGATTTGAAATAATAAACAAACATCAAGCAGTTATGGAGAGCAGGAGAATTGTGGAATTGCGCAACAAATACTTAGAACAAATAACTAAATCTAGACAAGAACAACGGCAAATTTTATTTTTGGATGAAACTTGGTATGACACTCACGAAACGAAAGGGTGGACTGATGGTTCGAGAATGTGTACGCCTAATATGCCTGCAAACAAAGGATCGCGACTAATCATTGTGCATTACGGAGAAAGGATGAGTTCTTGAGTACTGTTGACTATCATAAGTCACACTTGTTTGCCGAAAGTTCGGCAAACAAGTGTTGCCCATCTTTACACTTGGCTGCACCGCACTGATGAGGCCAATAGCCAGAAACACGTGTTCGCGGTTTGCCTTCCTTTTTGGAGTGTTATGTCAACTATTTGTTGTGTGACTCGTCACCAGTTCTGCGAAATTTGGACATTTTTAAACAGTCCACGTACATTTAGCACAATAATTTTAAAAAACTTTCACTACTGCCTTAAATAAAAATTTTATTTCGAACGTTAAAGTAGATATTTTAGGAAACAAGTCAAAAACTAAACCTCTGTGTTCAACTTTTATTATTCATGTCAACATAAATTTTATGACTGATTTAATTGCTTGTAGAATTAGCACAGTCATCGATTCAAGTAATTAGACTCCAATAAGGCCATAATTGTCAGTTTGTTTATACACATGTCAATTTGTGACTAATTATCAGCAAACGATTTGCTATTTCAACATTTTATTAAGGATAGTCCGCTAGATATTGAAATCATTATTGCTTTTTCTAAACTCAACTTCCATTTGATAAGTTATCTAATCAACAGTTCGGAATTTGTGTCGAAAAACAAAATCGGAGTCAGATTATGTGTTGATTTTCATTCACGAGTTTTTTCATTAACTACGATATTTGCGATTACAGATTGAGAAATAGGGAAGTCTTTCAAATATATTCTCTAGACTGTAAAGAACATTGGGGCATATAATTCCATGTCATTAAAGTTCAGACGACTCAAAAATAACTTAATTCAGCTGACAGTCATATTGCGTACGAAATTTCAGGATAGGGAGATTCTTTCAACCACTAGATATGAGGATCAAAAATCCCACAACTATTTGGGACCAAAATCATTTCATTTTTTCCTTCTACAATACAAAATGAACGTATCACAGAACCTTTGAAAATATTACTGGGAATGTGTCTATTGTTGAAAATAAATATTATTATCATTATTATATTAAGAATAGAGCTCAACAATGTAAGAAATCATTTTATGAAATATACCAATTTGATGCCTCCAGGTGTTCATCACTATAATCGTAACAAGTCATAGTCTCAGATAAAATGATAACGTGATAATTGCGGTTATGAATTATCCGCTAAACAACATATTCTATATAGATAGCAACCGTCGAACGATTGTAATATTATATTGACATCAGATAATATTGTAATATCACAATATAATTCCTTTATAAAGGCAATAAAACCGCATATAGCGGGTCATAATGAGGTCACTAGAATCGTAATAATCTACAATATTATTTTAAATTACATTCACTTACTCTACCCACAAATCCAGCCAACATTTTCAAATCCAATAATGTTATCAAAAGTGTATTTGATTAATTCCCAAACTTCATCAAATGTTCTGATAATATCTAAAAATCTAAAGAAATAACTCACCGACATAATATATCGTGGTCCAGCCCTTTGCTAGATCTAGTGTCGATCAAAACCAGATCATGTGACTTTGCCTGATACTCGTCCAAAGCAGTAACGTCTGATGAACAACTGGTGATTTCGAAACCCAACTTTTCGGCTGCCTTCAGTAGTGTTTCTCCCGCTTGATCCAGATTGGAAAATACGGTAAGAATCTGTAAGACGAAAATAAAAGTATGAGGTTGTTTCGAAAGATTTGCCCGTTTTAATGTCATGTGTTTTTTATGCTGTTAATTTTTTCTAAATCTTATTTTTTGCCTCTTTTTAGCCTTTTACTATACCATATCGTTGAGCGATTTTTGGTCAATTTTTCTCTACCAATTAAAATTGTCAGGAAAAAAAGTCAGAAAGCTCGAAAAGAAGGAGCCACACAATATCAACAATCGACAGAAATTGTTAAGTTTCCAGGTATGTTCTTTGCTTTTTCGCAACCGCCAAACCACCAAAAAAAAAAGAACTTTGTTACTATGTGGTGGTCAACAGAAGAGGTTCGATCCTGATCCACGACAACGCATGTCTGCACTTTTCACAATCGTCCGAAAATTGAACGAATTGAGCGTCAAAGTTCTACCTCAACCACCATACTCCCCATACCCCGTCCCAGTAAGACAGAGAAACTTCTTCTGTAGGGTCCATCCAACTGTCTCTCTCACACTCATTGAGCTTATGGATAAAATAAATGGCGAAATCTCCATAGTCATTAGAGATAACACCATCAAACCTGGTATCGTTGGAATCCTCATAATTTTCCCTAACCGTTCTTGTGATAATATATAGGATGTCCTATTTAAAAATCAAAAGTTGTTGTCATTTCCGGAAAAGCCGAAAGTTGAATTTGTTTTACAAATATTTCAGAAAGTGCCGTCTAGTGAGCATATTCAATGTTTCAAGTTTTAGAAATATTGCTAGAGAAATAAAGGAGAAAAAGGGGTTGTACCATAAGTCTGTGTCACACGGTATACAGACGGCTCAAAAACCAAAGAAGGCTCAGGATGTGGAGTGTACTCCAGATCAATAAGCCTAAGGATTGAGTGATAAATGGGAAAAAATACCAGCGTGGTTCGAACAGAACTGGCTGGTATCTCAATCGCCACAAAAGAAATAACCAGGAAAGGAATTTCTGGCAAAAACATAACAATCTGCAGTGACAGGAGACAAGCCCTTAGGCTTGAACAGACAACGTGTTACCTCAGGGCTAGTAATAGAGTGCCACCAAGGTTCAGCCAAAGCCTCGGTAGATAATAACATTATCTTGAGGCGGGTTAAAGGGCACGACAGGAGTTGAGGTAATCGCATTGCCGACTTTTTAGCCAAGGAAGCGGCTGGACTAAGGATTTTGGACCCAGTGGCACTTGGCCTACACCTGCTGATATAAAGGAGATGTCTCCTAGTGACCTGTTCACCTTCCTGGAAAGGACAAAATGGACGATGACCTAGGAGGACAACTCCTCGGGAGGATGTACAATGGGTCACATGTGGCCAAGTGCTCTGGGCCTACACTCCCCCTTCCTGTTCTACAGATACAGATACTATCTTTTCAAGCACTTTTCAACGGCAGAACCTGAACCAAACAAGACCAGGCAAAGACGGCCTTCGTCGACTTCGTAGAATTCCAAGCATCCAATTTTAATGCTGTAGTTGTTTTTTTTCTTTGTATATGTCACTTATACATGACTCAGATCAAAATAAATAGATATAATTTCTTACCGTCCTAAATATTCCTTCCCAGTTTGGGTATCACATTCGATAAAAAAAAATTACATAAATCTGCTTCTTTACTGATTATTGTGCATGAAATGTTTATTGATGTAGGCGAGTCTCAACACTTCTGAGGAAGCTATTATATAGCGAAACACGTGTTGCTGTTTTGTAAACTGTTTCTTCAATACTGAATGATATCTATCTATAAGCAAATTTTTGGTAGCTCGGGGTACATTATTGAAGTATTCGTAGTAATCTCTATTTTTGTAGTCGACTTCAATAGGTCATATCATTTTTTAAATCAGTTAAGAAATTTTTGAATGTATCTATCACATTCAAGCATACAGAAAATCAAATTGATTTTTCTTTATAATATTACTTTATATTGTATTTTATGATTCTTACCCTCAAATTTTTCGTAGGTGGCGATATTTGTCCAAATTTCACTTCATAGGGTCCTCTCTGTAACAAAAAATACGATATTGAAAAAATTGCAATAAATTTCGATAGTCTATACTGTGAAAATGAGGTAAATGATCATTATTTTTCGCTGGTACTAGTAAGAAATCGAAGATACTAAAAATTTTGGCAACACTCAAATTCCAATTCTAAAGTCTATTGATAATAATAATCACCAAAAAAGATATTGCATTTAACATTAAACAAAATGCTAGTAACATTGAGAAAACATGTTTTGCCATTTCACGAATTTTGCCAACATTTATGTTACAATAAAAATGTACCTGGGAAGATTTCCCAATTTCAATTTCCATGATGGAATAATGTGTTATTTGTAGAAATCTGCTATAGAAACTTGTAGCTTCTGATTCAGATGTGAAAAATAAAACTTATTCGTTTTGAAAATGATTATTGGATTATTTTGAAAAAATTTAAACCTTTGAAGGGTAAATAAGTCTTAATAGAACAGAATCGATGACCCTAAAAATAGATTTCGATGTCGAAAATTTTTTATTAACGAATATAAACGTTATAATGTTTTGAAGAGTTCCTGAAAACTTTATTCAATCTAAACCGTTTCCAAAGGAAACGCTGATGTGTTGCTTTTTAGAATTCCAAGCAATCTACAATTGATATATGTCCACTTTTTCATTATTTTCATTTCAGGAAAAATTGAGATATTTATGATACTATATTCAATATTATCATATTTTCTCAAAATTGTTGTATATTCAAGAGGTCAACAATATCACCAAATTGTTTCCCGTTATTTTAGTGCAAAACTTTTCACTTTTATATATTTTTTTGGACTGTAACGAAAATTCTTTAAAAAATTTATGAAAATAAATGTATTCTCCAAATTTTCCTCACAACTCACCGAATTAGAATATTTTCGCAAAACCCTATGCCCAAATGATACATTTCACCCAATAATTAGAAAATCTACTGTTTCTACACATCAAAAATTCGTAATATCGAAAAATCCAACAAAAAAAGGTTCCTTTCCTTCGGTATCGAAAACACAAGCTTCCTCCTTTTCCTCACCCTTCTCTTCGGTCTCCACGGTGTAACGAACTGAGGTTCCAATTGAGGATCACTCTTATTTTGGTCTTCCCCGGATTCAAAGAGGCAATTCACGTTCATCAAACAGAAAATTGATTTTTTCAGTAATCAACTTAAAAGCGCTGCAACATATACCACTCGATAATTATAAAACATTTCATCGAACCGGGTTCTTACTTTGCATTCAGACAATTTGTATATTTAAAGATTCAGGTAAAAACCATTTGAAAACTGTATAAATAAACATTCGAGTAAAAGTAGCTCCTTGTCACTGTCAAGAATTGAATTATGTGTCACCTTAATATAATTTATTTGACAAACAAGAAACATTTACCCTCTTGAAAGTGGGCCAGGGTGTTTCTGATTGGCCAAATCGTTATAGTGCTCGAAGGACAATGTTCTGTGAAAGAGAAATTGGGGCGACGGTAAAGGAAAAAACACCGAGTGTTATGGTTATAGTTTCTTTATTTGTTGAATTACTCCACACGGAAAAAAGTCCAAAAAGTTTTGTAAAGGATGGACTCATCACGCTACAGTTAAATATTGTAAACCAAATAAGGAATCCAAAAAGAAACGTATGCCTCCCCAAGGTATATGTTTTACAGCGAGATACAAGTGTTCCCAACCACCTGATAATTCCTATTTATCTGTCTTTTATCGATCTAAAGAAAAAAGTAGACAAACACGGCAAAGTCTCACGAAACATCAAGAATAAAAGGTTTTCGACACGCCAAACTCTAGAGATTACAAGAACCACAATAGCCGTATTTCAAGAATAACGTAAAACTCCACATAAAAAAGAATTCAGAATCGATTCCCACAAAGGTGGCCGTGAGGGGTGTCAGTTCTGTTCTGCTGCGAAAATAAACAGATACGCTACAATTTCAACAAAAGCATCTATTTTTTGCACCATACGTGGATATTTATAACGAGAGAAAAGCAGGAATGAGCTCTCACTGAATGTCAGTTTTGAAAAGTCGAATCAACAAAGAACTTTTTTAAGAAGTCCTTAAAAACAACTACGATTTTAATTGTTCTGCTAAATACTGTTTTCATACCATTCAAATCAGAAACATATGGAAGCGGAGACAGAAATATTTATATTGTTTGAACGATATATATGATATTTATACAAAACTTCAGTTTTGTGAGTCATCAAATATTCAAATAACCTCTGTATGATCCATGACCACATGAAAACAGAAATTAGAACATTCCTTCTTGAGGCAATTATCTGCGTAGCTGACAAATTTAACATTCGGATTATTAAAGCATCTGGGCTAAAGTCAAGTGGGCTTAAGAATTCATCATGGTCTACTACTGCTGTATGATAGTTATTGGTTCACAGATGGATCAAAAACACCTTTCGGTTCTGGTGCAGGAGTTTTTCAGTCGCAGACCCAGGACAGAGATATCAAACTGCCTAGGAACATATGCGACTGTATTTCAAGCGGTAATTTCGTGTCTTGTCTTTTCGTGTCAAGAACACATGAAGTAATTTCTTTGGTGACTTCTGTCCTGTATATACAAGATTTAATGTAAAGTAGACACATTATTTAGTTGTAAGCGAAAAACTGAAAGAAGTACAATGAGGCTGCTGACTCCCTTGCAAAGGAGGGTGCTGCAATCAGCTTCATGGAACCAAAACCTGTCAATGGCATCGCTTTAGGCTTTGCCAAACAAAAATTGAACACCTGGATAGCAAGAAGATTAATGGACTTCTGGCAGAATCTTTCAGATTCCAAACAGTTGTTGGACTACAATAGGGATGAACTACGATGTCTAACAGGCCTTCTCACAGGTCACTGTCATTTGAATAATCATATGCAGAGACTAGGACTGTCGGAAGGCAAAGTGTGTGGCCTCTGTTTGTGCCTGCCCCACTTGGGACCGAATCAGGTTTTAAGAGTTGACCTGTAAGACCACTCACCATATAAACTAATCGGCCCCGTTAAGAAGCTGGGTTTATTTGGTCGAGTGTGAATAGGTGTGAGCCCAATAAACCCTTGCGGGTTGCGGTGGAGGGTCGAATAGACCCACTAACTTTGGACCTAACCTAACGTAACCTAACTACTACTGTATAATCTGGTATTTCCTGACGAGTATGTAGTTTTGCTGTTGGAATAAATCAAGCTTTTGGAAACCTGAAATGAAAAACAAAACCAGCCACAACAAAAGAGAGCACAAAGTATCTGTGAACCTGAGAGTCTTCTAGAGGAACTCAATCACCTAAAAATGCCTTCAAAAGGAATGGGTACAACGAAACAGAATTTGAGCGGGCCATGTGACGCAGGAAAGAAAACACCAAAGTAACCCCAGCTAAGCTGGTCGAGGGGAAAATCTTTTTTTCCCTATGCTGAGAATGTTGATGACCGGATTGGGAGAATCTTAGACGTGAAACCAATATTTAAGCCAACAAAAACTAACAGACAAAGTCCAAGGTCAACTCAGGACCCCAGAGAACCTTCAACAACGCCCGGATTCCTTGTAGCTGCGTAACTACGAAAAGAAATATAGGTATAGTCGAAGTAACTGATATAGTAATCTTAAAGGTGTCGGCGAAGTCAAAGGCCAAAAAAACCAATACAAAGGAATTATGCCGCTACGAGTTAGTCCACGTGGACTGAAGAATTGGCGGTTCGTATTGGATGATTTTTACTAATCGAGTTTTATGATTGGCTGAATAAGAAAATTTTGGCCGAGTCATAAAATTAAATTTGAAGTCATGTTACGGTGACCAACAGAATGGAGCGATGAGTACCGCGTTGTGTGTGTTATTAAAAGGGAACTGCTGGAAGGTAGGGTGCACTTTATCTTTTACTTGAACTGTACCTAAACACAAGAGGACTGTCCAATAAACCTCCGATAAACCAACCAATCAACTGCGGCCGAACATGCGCTCAACAAAGGAAACACATCATCTCATTTGAAGATACATTAATACTCGATAATAAAAACTACTATTCAGAAGTATATGGAGAGGCAATAGAAATTCAAATACACATGAATGAGTTCAATAGAAAAGAAGAGGCAATGAACATTGATGAAATCTGGCTACCTGTCCTCAATTCTACACAAAAAAGGTCAGGCAAATCAATTAAGTGAAACCATACCACGCACACCAATAATAATATAAAATCGGAGTGAAATACCAGCTTTGTAGTTTCTGCGTTGGTAACAACGAGAATAACAACTCGAGCACTGCGACCATTACCTCATCGCCTTTTATAATATGTACTGCAGTCGTAGACGAAACGTCAGACATAAAAATCTGCAGACCACGGCCTTTAAAGTTCACATTCTTTGATCAAAACTGAAATAGTTTCATTTATGGCCATACATTTAGAATTTTGGCATTTTTTCAATTCATAATTCGTGAATGATTATGCAAGAAAGAGTGATTAGATTGAAAATGAGGATCTTTGAAAAGAGATTTATTTTTTCAACGTTTGTTTACTCCCTAAACCATAAAATGGAATGATTGCAAATATTGAACCGAAGCCATTGAAAAAAAAATGTTGATCGCTAGATAAGACTTGAAACAATAATTGAGAAACCGCTAAATAAAGTGTTTTATTTTGACGGAACTGAATCTTTCAAAATACTTATCTCATATCACACGTGAGAAATATCGCTAAATATTTCTTATCCCGTATATCGATTTCGTTTCGATATTAACTGAAATCGAAACTATGAAAAAATATATTTTTATGATCTAATCATCGGAAAAATATAAATTTTCTTCTAAAAACAGGTAATCCTATGTATTCTTACTTCTGAAGTAGCAACAGATTTGAAATATCATTTAATTCACTCATACTTCACGAAGCACATTGAAGCACAGTAATGCTTTTACTTTTTTGCAATGTCTCTCTTCCAGGACCTATCATAGCGATACATTTCATAGACATGCAAACTGCTAACACAACCTTGTGCACTCC